ACAGCCTTCTCGGAAATCTGCCAAAATTTCAAGTCGCTTTTGTTCCTCAATAGCCAAAACATCCAAAAATTACCGTGGCAGCTCCAAGGATTTGCCTTTAGACGGTCTTTTAAGTGATTCTCTTCAAGCGACTGTCCGAGTTAATCGAATGAACCGCGGAATCAAAATCGCTTAAAAAGTCACACACCAAGCTGGATTCTTTCAGCAAGTAAGCTCCTTCGCTACCTACAAACTTAATGATGTCTGTAGAGTAGTGACTAAAGGCAAAAAGGCTGAGAAAACCGCGAAAAAACTCATTTCTCGACTTCTTGCAGCACAGCTTCGAACCAAAACAAACCGACAAACCAACTGTCAAAGTCATGAGTTTAGCGTGAATATGCAAATCTAGGATATTTTACGGTCTAGCGATCAGTTGTCAAGCCAAAGAAGTCGGTAACTATGGGTCCTTTTTTGCCCTTTTTGGAAAGAAATCAGGAGAAATAAGTACTAAATAAGGTTATTTAGACTTAAAATAAGYGATTGGAATGATGTTTTGTCAATTTTTCGGAAATTTCAAAAATACCCTAAATCGTCACTTACGCCGTTTTCGTATCCGCCCCTTCAAATAGAAACGGTCATATGCTGAAAGACTTCCTCAATGAAAATAACCTTGTTTGCCTAAAATATGAGTTTCCAGAAAAGAACAGGACAGAAATGGACTCACACCGGCCCAAATGGCTGCAAAGCACAACTAGACTATATGATCAATTGAAAGTGGAGAAACAGCGCTAAGAACTGCAGAGCCTTTAACACTTTTGCTAGCGTCGCATCAGACCACCGGATTGTTTCAACCCGTATCCGCCTGAGTCTACGCGCAAATAAGAAGAGAGCAAGCACAACACCCCCTTTTGACTGGTCAACACTAAAGTCAAATCCCAAGATCCATGAGGACTTTGTTATTCAGCTGAGCAACAGATTTGCTCTTCTCCAGGACTCCACATTAGCCACTACTGCAAATTCCACCTATGAAAACTTTGAAAAGGCTTGCAGAGAAYCAGCAAAAGATACCATCCCACTGAAACCCAAAACAAAGAAACGAAAACCTTGGGAATYGGCTGAAATATGTCAAAAGCGCCAAGAATTGCATAAAGCTGCACAGCTTAAAATCTCCGACCCATCTCGTGAAAACATCAAACAATTCGAAGATTCTTGTGAGGTGCTGAAAAACTCATATGAAATCGAACAATCTGAATACCTGCAGAGTAAGATCAACCTAGTGTGACAAGGTCATGATTCCCATATTTGGAAATTGCATGAGCGATCACGTTTGTAGCGCGCGCTTTGCGCAAGTAAATCAGTTCTGCTCCAGATTCGGTCGTGTTTGGTTGTATTTTCTCTCTGTGTATTATCTTTCTCCAACAACTTATATCGAACCTACAGCAAATAACTAGTACAAGAAAATCCATCACTTTTCAACCCGGTCACATTTGGCGTCGCGAGCAGGATAAGCTGTATGGAGAAGTTTTACAGGCTAAAGGTCTTCAGATGAAAACTGCCGATCGAGGACAGAACTCATTTCGGTGATTTGGTCCCTCGCCGATCTTATTTTGGACTTCAAAAGAACCTTACGAACCACGAAAAGAGAAAAAA